AAAAAAAAACATGGCCAAATTACGCCACCACTATACATTGATGTAGTTATTTGTAAAGCGAGTATTACAGGGTGAAGACGAGTAGTGCGAGACACGTACACATACTAATAATCATTTACTACGCACACAGTCACGAGTCACGCACGCACACACTTTAAATATTGCCTATACCTAACACCTTAAATGTATACCACCACCGATCCCCTTAATGTATAATATACATACTTTACTCATTATCTATTTTGGTGTAATTAAATTGATTAGTTTGACACTGATAATGTTTTCTTATCAATTATGTCTTATCATCAACTGGATAAAAACATTAAAATTATTTGAATTATTCAGGGTATTGGGTATTATAAATTATTTATTTAAATTTTATAATAATTTCCTTCAAAATGCCGATTTTATGCTCTGTTTATGGGTGCGTTAAGAAGTCTAATGACAAAAACCTATCTTTTTATCGTTTTCCAAAAGTGAAAATTATATGGTGAGACAACCTTTAAAATAGCTGCATTGCTATTTGCTACTTCTAATTTGGATAAAAAGCAATGAAAAGTCTGATTATCATCAAGGGTTTTTGATAACTTTATAACAAAATCTTTTTTTTGTTTTTGAGGTTGTATACATTCTGAATTCATTGTTTTTGGATGATTGAAATTAATATTATTGATTTTTTGGATTTCAACATTATTTTTGTTTGATGGAGGTACCCAATATCCTGAAACATCTGTAATTGACTTAGATGACTGTGATTTTTTTAAACATGCATACTATAAGTAAAATAGCAGTGCATCAACATGTGAACAGCATTCACCTAATCCTGCTAYACAGGTACAATGTGCAGCCCAAGTATCCCCACAACTCTTCAATATAAGCCAAGGCAAAAGCTTAGAATCATTCAACCGTTGAGAATGAGCCACCTATTATTAATTAGAAAAATTAAATACTCAATAAATTTAAATCAATGTTTTACCTAACAGCAGCAGATTATCTAGTCATGGGTAACAATATATTGGATATGTTATTCTGTAAACAAATATTTTAATATTTTAGACACAAAAACATTTTTTTTTAAATGATTTACAATTAAATTAGAAGTTAATGCTATTAAAAAAAAATAATAATAACTGAATATTTTGTTAAAATACTATATCTAGTAGGTAGAAAGCAGGTATTATTTTTCTATTTGATAAAAGTTCTTACAATAGTTTCTATAATTTTTTTAAGTTTATAGTTGATTAAAAAATAAACTTAAATAACTTTTGACTAGTTGATGCCAACCTTTAGAAATGAGTTATTATAATGGATAAAATTAGCAAATGTTAAAATATTTGAATACTGATTCAGATTTTGAAAATTTTTAAGACAATTAGGTAGTATGTATAATACCCATTACATAAAGCTGAGCATAAAGCTTTATGGAGCATAAAGCATTAAGCTAACTTACCTCAGCAACTACAAGCACATAATTAGTAAAAGCAAGCCATTTAGAATTACACACCCATCCGCTAACAAAAAAATTATAGGCTTCTAAACTTTTAAATGCTTTAAATTGATCTAAAGTATAGAAGCTTTTAGTTAAAACCAAATAGTTGAACACATCTGGGTAAGTTATCTGTGGGAGAATTTCCATGTCAGTTGTCCAAGTGATATTTGGGCCATTTGACAAGACGTATGGATCTTTTGACCCTATATCCTCGATTTTATTCAAATATCTAACTTTAACATCTCCCGTCAAACTTCTACCACGATTGCTTAAATCGATAGACATAGTTACTATTAGTAAGGTAAAATTTTTAAATTATAAAAACTACTAACTTAGTAACATATACGTATAGTATATAATTTGCAATTAAAAACATCAATATTTGGACACCCACTTAGTGATAAGAATAATATCAGATAAAAACATAACCTAAATCAAAGTAATCAAATAATTGTAAAATAAATATTATTATATTAGTTATAAATTTATTTAATATTTTATTGTAGGTTGGTAAATAAATAATAAACATAAAAAGAATTTATAAAAGTGGCGCTTCCAAACGGAAGCTAAAAAATGAAAAAGAAGAGAATAATAAAAATATTATCAAAAAAACAAGAATGATATCTAGTTTTTTTGAAACAAGACCATTACCAAATGATACCGCAGCTATATCAAATATTCAAATATTACCACAGATATATATGATAAACTAGATTGCTAACTATTGATAAGACGTGAATCAAAGTTCCGCCATTTTATCTGAGGCCAGAAATTATTATCAATCATTATCACTTTATTAAATCCGGAACAACGATTAACGACCACCTGTTGTCCGGTTAACGTTTTGATTTTTCTACTTTTTCTACTTTGGTTTTTGACTACTTTACAAATTATAAATTATAAATAAAATAAATTAATGTTTGWTCGCTATGTTTTTCATTCATTGCTCCTCTCAGAATCTAACATATGTATTTTATGTAATTATAACAAGAATTAACAAATAAATGGTAACTATGTGATATATTTTGTGTGTGCATTATTATTTATAACATAAATATATTTCCAATGTCA